TTAAGCCGATTACAAAGAAGAGTAGAAAAGAAAATTCAGAGCTTCAGTATGATCTAAAACCATGATCTAGCGTTGACCAGTACTGGTGAGACAGTCTGTCAATCAATCGATCCCACATTCACTAAAAGCATATTGCGAGTTCAAACGTTCCCTTGATGTGGAAAGAGTGGAAGTTGAAATAATAATCTTTGCACCTGGGTTTGTAATATATTCAAGCGATTTAAGCATAGAATTACTTCATCTCAATTAATAAAACTGAACAAGAGGCCTGTTAATTGTGAACGTTTTCCTAAACTGTGAGTTACTTTACCACATGATATGTTGTTTTTAAACTGCGTGCAGAAAAACTGAAGCGGAGCAAAAGCGAAAACTAAGAAATACTTGTGATTATTTATAAATGGTTAAATTTGGACGTACGTTAGAATTTCTTTTTGAAAAGGAGTTATTTCAACTATATGACAAGACCGTGCAGCCTTTCAATGACTGACTGAAATACGATATAATAAGAACATCTATTCTAAGTTAACTTACTAGAGAAAAAAGGAAATCCTCTCTCTCAGTGTGCTTCAGGATGCTTTTTTCCTCCTAATGTTTCGCGTGGATCTTGATCTCTCTTAGTGGAATTGAGCATAACTGAGCTGACGCGAATTGTAAAAAACCGTTTGCGTCAACGCCTGGTCAGCATTTCAATAAAACTAAAAGAAGCGATTTACGAGAGAAATTAAACCGCACATTGTTTGATCNGAGACAGTCTGTCAATCAATCGATCCCACATACACTAAAAGCATATTGCGAGTTCAAACGTTCCCTTGATGTGGAAAGAGTGGAAGTTGAAATAATAATCTTCGCACCTGGGTTTGTAATATATTCAAGCGATTTAAGCAAAGAATTACTTCATCTCAATTAACAAAACTGAACAAGAGGCCTGTTAATTGTGAACGTTTTCTTAAACTGTGAGTTACTTTACCACATGATATGTTGTTTTTAAACTGCGTGCAGAAAAATTGAAGCGGAGCAAAAGCGAAAACTAAGAAATACTTGTGATTATTTATAAATGGTTAAATTTGGACGTTGGACGTTAGAATTTCTTTTTGAAAAGGAGTTATTTCAACTATATGACAAGAACGTGCAGCCTTTCAATGACTGACTGAAACACGATATAATAAGAAAATCTATTCTAAGTTAACTTACTAGAGAAAAAAGGAAATCCTCTCTCTCAGTGTGCTTTAGGATGCTTTTTCCCTCGTAATGTTTCGCGTGGATCTTGATCTCTCTTAGTGGAATTGAGCATAACTGAGCTGACGCGAATTGTAAGAAACCGTTTGCGTCAACGCCTGGTCAGCATTTCAATAAAACTAAAAGAAGCGATTTACGAGAGAAATTAAACCGCACATTGTTTGATCATATTTGGCTAACACGTAGACAACCGATCAAAAATTACAGAAATTTAAAGGACCATTGGCTGAGACTCAACGTCATGTCACTTTCTACGACGCGCTGTCAGTCACAATGCTGGGCCCATTTTTCTGAGGTAAATTATATCTCTTGGGGAGTCAGCAAACACTTTTTATACTGGACAGGTGGCTGTTTTTACTGAATCTAAAAACGACAGTGAGAAGACAGAAGCTTTATTGAAGTGTCGAATCTTCCCGCAGACCTGACAAGTGTTTTTCAGAGCTTCGATAACCGGGGAAAGCCTAAGAAGACCCCAGTTCTGAAACGTTTTGTTAGAGGGCAGGTTAGTTAGCTTTGTAATGTGCTATATCACTTCTCCGTTTTGTGTAATTTTTCTACCAACTGGGAAAATTGTTAATTAAAAAAGAGTAAACAGAATATAACCGTCGAATTGGCTCCTCCAAATTTAATGATTTCGCAAAGAAAATGTTTTTTAATACCGAAGAGAGTAGCTGTATGCTAAATAAATTCCTTACCATTTTATTGCGTTCAGGTCAGTTAACACTGCAGGCAGAGCGCGAAGCTTTCAAAAATAGATATATGATTCAAGTGCAGCCTATAAACATAAACAATTTCCTATCTTTCGTTTATATTTGGTTTTAATTATTCATTTGCTCTCGGACCCTTTTGTATAATTGTCAAATGCATTCGAGTGTCATTTTTCAACAAATTTTATTGCTTTGTGTTGTTTTGCATTCAAGGCGGGTTGCCTCCAACAAGACAATTTCGTTTTTATCACAAGAGGTCGAGAGCTAAAACAAAAGGCGCTATTTAAATTGCTGTGTTTCTTCTCACGTTTGCTATCTTGCCAACAAAAGGGAGATATGTTAATCAAACTGTCCTTAACAAGCAGAAACTTTAAGCTAACAGAGATCGAGCGGTAACTCTTTTGACTGGAACTCAGAGCAACCA